CTGGAACATGAGCTGTAGGTGAGAGAAGGGGACCAATGATCCAAAGCTCTCAGTCGTGAGGATTCTGAAAGCAGTAGCTCTGTTCAAGTGCAGACCTGTTCATGCAAGTGCAGAGAGAGCATGGCAAAGAGGCATGCTTCTGCCATTCTCTCCTGTAAGAGCAGGAAACTACAAAAAAAGAGGGTATACTCCCCTGTGAGATATTTCCTACTTTTGAGAAAAGCTCTCATACATGCGAAGTCTTCTCTCTCTCTCTCTCTCTGTACAATTTATACATTTCATGAAATTTGTTTAAATACCACAAAGTAAACAATAAGCTCATTAATTCAATGCAACTTTTATTAAGTGTGGACTCACCAAGTTTCCACTCATTCAGTTCGTCTACTCTTGTTGGACTTACCATTTGGACTCGAGCCTCTGTAAGCAACTTTTTAATCTTTCAGTTTAGAGTTTCACTATCCCACTTCTTAGTTATATTGTCATTGTCCTTGACTTGAATTCTCATTAACTTGAATTGTCACGGTCTATCACCAATTATTATGAGCCAGGTTATAAGTGGCCCTGTATACACTGGGTTGCAACTCTCATCATCACAACCAATGGTAGAAGCTGCAGTCCAAAATTATCTAGAGGAATAGACTTCTCTGTTTCTGCAATAATGCATTCTTCAAGATCCTGAGCAGATTCACTCTTGATTCTGGGCTGATGTAAGTATCATCTTATGGCTGGATGCATTGAATCTACATTGAATCTAAATGTATTCCAGCACCCACTCTTATTCCATGACATACTGCTGAGTGTAGCCTGATTATATTATTCAGGATGCTTGTAATATAAGCCCTAACCCAAAAATAAGCCCCACTTAAGTGAAACCCCGCCCTCCACCATTGTGCAGCAACCCGAAGATGGCATGACTATATTTAATGTAAATTTACATGAAAAAAATAAAATATCTCCTGAAACACCCTAATGTATTTTTGGAGCAAAAACTAAGATCCTTATTTTCTGGGAAACGGGTCCACCAAATTTGAAGGACCTATGATACAAAGCATTGTAGCATACTTACTTTTCTAGAATGAACTTCTTTGGCATATAAAGGATATAAAAATTCTGACTCTCCTTCTAGACGGACTCCTTCACTTTGAACATACAAATACCCCATGCCAATCTGCAATGAAAACCTCTGAGTTTTAATAAAACATTATTTCTTACTCAAATGATTTTAAAATTATATAGAATTGGCACAGTCCATGATATTTGATATAAAAGAGCAAGGCACTGTAAATGATTTTAAAATTATATAGAATTGGCATAGTCCATGATAATTGATATAAAAGAGCAAGGCACTGTAACTTAGAAGAATTTGCTAGAATGAACTTCTTTGGCATATAAAGGATATAAAAATTCTGACTCTCCTTCTAGACGGACTCCTTCACTTTGAACATACAAATACCCCATGCCAATCTGCAATGAAAACCTCTGAGTTTTAATAAAACATTATTTCTTACTCAAATGATTTTAAAATTATATAGAATTGGCACAGTCCATGATATTTGATATAAAAGAGCAAGGCACTGTAACTAGAGTGGTCACAATTGACTAGATAGGTGGGGTATAAATGAAATAAATAAATAAATAAAAAAATAAATTAGAAGAATTTACATACTGCCCTTCAATCAAAATACTTTCAAAGCAACTTATAAATAATTAAATGCAAAGTGGAACAGACAAAAGACAACAGATAAAAGCAGAATGAATTATTGTAATAATACTAAGAGTTAAAATTCATAAGGAGGAAGAGATCTTTCTTTGATAGTAACAAAGGATTAGCTGCCAGATGGCATGTATGAATGAATGAATGCATGGGGAAGGGTAATTTCCTGGGACAGCATTCCAGAAGCAGAGTACAACAGTCTCCAAAATTTTCCCTGGGTAGCATTTCTTGGATAAGGTGCCATTGCAGAGAATGACATTGGGAAAGATACGTAGAATACATGCAAAGGAGCATAATGAAGAGAAGACACTTACGGAAGAAAACCACATCACTTTCAGAATCCAGATTGTCAAAGCAAGGTTGACAACTACAATGATGATCAGGAGGAGGACAAAGAGGTAAAGACAGCGCTTTCTCCAGCCATAAATCCCAACATTGTAGATGTATTGAGGTTCTGGTCTCTGTATATTAGTGCCAGGTGTTGTAGTATTATACTGTTCACGTACCATCTGCTAGAGCAAAGGGAATATTAGGTAAAGTATGATGTAAGCATTTAACCTATTAATAAGGACATTTTTAAAAAATTACAGTCGCGCCCCGCTTAACGATTATTCCGTATAACGACGAATCCGCTTCACGACAATGTTTTTGTGACAATGTTTTAATGGAGTATTTTTGCTTTGTGATGATCGATTCCCTGCTTCGGGAACCAATTCTTCCCATTACAACAATCAAAACGGCTGATAGTCGGGTTTTCAAAATGTCCGCCAGCTGTTCAAAATGGCTCGCCGTTGTTTTTAGGAGGCATCTTTTGCAAGACAGGCACCCGAAAATGGTCGCCGTATGGAGGATCTTTGCTGGACGATTAGGTATTTCGCCCATTGGAACACATTAACCGGTTTTAATGTGTTTCAATGGGGTTTTTTATTTCGTTTGACGACGTTTTTGCTCTACAGCAATTTCGCTGGAACGAACTAACGTCGTCAAGTGAGGCACCACTGTACAAAGGATCTAGTGGCACCTTAAATGTTTATTTGGCACAAGCTTTTTCATACTGCATCCCTCTAGCCTCGTTTCTTTTAATGGGATAGACCAACATGACTATACATAGGATATTGTTCTCCCAATCAGTGGACTAAAATGTGCCACAGTGAAGTGACTATTTAAAGAAATATTGTTTTCAATATAAGTATTTGAAACTTGCAGAGGCAAGTACCATTTTTTAAAATTTCTAGACAGAATTGACTCCTTTATGATGACAGTTGCTACGATAAGACGTTTTATCTATAAATATTAAAACTGAATCAATACCCAGAATTCTATTGATTTACATCAGTGTAAGTGTAATTGTGTAAACTGTGGTGGTGATCTGTCACTAATAAATAAGCTATTGTGTATACTTCTGGTCACAAACTCACTGCATTAACATGCAATCAGAAATGTGACTGGCACCTTGTTAATTAGCAGCAATTTGCTGCTACAGTACAATGTATGCAATTATCCTGTAAAAAACAACAGGATTCTGGTGGTTGAATTAATCAGGTTAACTGACTAAGCTGTTTTTAATTGGGCTCAAGATTAAACATTAACAGAACATAATATGAGCCCTCCCAGTCGAATATTCAATTTCCACTGTGGCCAACTGGGAAGCGCAAGGACAAGAGAGAAGCAGCATTCTCCTGCTCAAGGTCCCTGCCAAATTATATTGAGAGATAGATTGTCATATAATACACAGTCATGATGACCAGGGCTTGTAAAATTTTAGAATGCCTCACCAGTCAGTCAAAAATTTCACCAGTCAGCATGACTGGACTATAGCCTTGCAATTTATGCTAACAAATTTAAACTAGGCACTTGTTCACTTTTATTTCTATGTAACAATGCATACAAACCCAAAATAAATTGTATTACGTACACGGGGATCACTGATTTATACCATCAGACTTGGGTTGCTTTATTACCTGCGTGCCTGTGGGGTCATGAAGCTTGTATTTTGAATGCCTTTCTTTTGAAAGTCTCCAGAAAAAACAAAAACAAAAAAAACCTGAAAGCAAAAAAGCCCCTGGCCTCTTAAGGAGCCACAGTTCCCTTCCACCCCAGGATGTGTCCTCATTTGGTTGAAATTGGGAGCAGGGAATCTTCATATTCTCCAGCATGGGACTACTCTACTTTCTTCTGCAGAGCTATATCTCTATGTGCCGCTCAAACTCTCTTCTCACGAGGGCAGTTTTCCTTTTGCAATGGGAGGGGGAGGGGAGGACTGCATGATTAAAGAGAGACAGGCATGTTGAGCAGCATTTTTCACTCTTCACAGAGGACCGTTGAGCAGCATTTTTCACTCATCACAGAGGACTGGACGAGTGCATTTTTCGAGCCCTGATTATGACTATGAGCCACGGATTGTTTTATCCTCCATGAATTTGTTAGCTTTCCCTTAAAGCCATCCACTTTGGTAGCCCTCAATAAACTCCACAGATTAACTATATACTGCTATGAAGAAGTCCTTTTATCTGCCTTGATTCTCTCACCATTCAGCTTCCTTGGATGAGTTTGAGTTCTAGTACTAAAGCAAGTTAGGGGAGTGGGCTTTAGTCCCTTCATGTACAAAAAGGCCAGCTTCCATTCTTATATTCTGTATTATATTTCAATGGTACTATAGATTGTCAGATTTCATAGAAATTGCATTAAGATATTGCACACTCAGATCCTTAATGCTTATATTTATTGCTTGAGATATAAAACTGCTTAACTTTTATACTTAAGTCCTAAAGTTAAGCTGCAAGTAGTTTAAGAAAAACATATTATTACTGGAGAAGGGAAGTGTGGTGAATGAGAGCTGTTTAACCACTCCTTTCCTGGCTCTTTACCTGTTTAAACTGCCTTCTCCCAAGATGGTTTTCTTCCCAGGAATAGAAGATGGGAAAATATTTTTGTGTCATTGCACAGCATTATACTATGTCCTTGTTGTCTGTTAAGGCAGAATCCTGCGTACATATCCTCAGACAGTAGCAGAGCCAGAGGTTGGGAGTTTGATTCCCCAGTGTTCATCATAGAAGAGCTGGCCAGGCAAACTGCAGAGTCTCAGGTTGTACCCAGAAGAAGGGAATGGTCAATCACTTCTGAGTACTCTTTACTGAGAAAATCCTGGAAGCAGTCATCATAAGTCTGAATTGACTTGGTGGCATACAATTATTGCTATTAATCCAAGTGATTTCAGAAGGACTTACTCTCAAGCAAGCAGACACAGATTTGCATCCTTACAGTTTAGATTTATATAAAGCTATAAATCTGAATTAGGGATGTGGTGGTGGTGCGGGCTAAACCGCAGAAGCCTGTGCCGCAGGGTCAGAAGACCAGCAGTCATAAGATTGGACCCACGCGACGGAGTGAGCTCCCATCACTTGTCCCAGCTCCTGCCAACCCAGCAGTTCGAAAGCATGTAAATGCGAGTAGATACATAGGTACCACCACGGTGGGAAGGTAACGGCGTTCCGTGTCTAATTGTGCTGGCCAAGTGACCACGGAAACTGTCTCCGGACAAACGCTGGCTCTATGGCTTAGAGATAGGGATGAGCTCCGCGCCCTAGAGTCAGACACGACCAGACTAAATGTCAAGGGGAACCTTTACCTTAAGACCACTCTGCATTTGTTACTGAATGCAGTTTGATCCGGTTCAAAGCATCATATTTACACCCACTGATTATATTCATTTATGGTTGAAATTAGCAAAACAAAGTTATATTGCCTGTATTTAGCCAAAAGAGAACATTGTGTAACAGGAACTCCATAACGTCCTCTAGTCCACTAAAATAGAATGAATCTCATGCTAGATTACGTGTGTTTCTGCAGCCATGATATGTAGCAGAAGCTGTAGCCTCAATGAACTGAGCTACAAAGGGAGCCTTCAAGGTGAGCAGATTTCTGTTCTTGGTAATCAAGTATGGGAGAATATTGGTCTTTCAAAGGAATTTTCCTGCTCATCCCTTGCACAATTCTAACATTTCTACCAAGTTCCCAGCATTGGTGGGACGTTCCCTCCCTCCCTCTTCTTTCAACTACTTGCTACCTTCAGTCCAAGCTACACCCCATTTTAACTGCAGCTTATCTAGGAGTTGAAGCCATGGCAGAATGCTGACGCCTAGGGACAAGAATTCCATTATTTCTGCCCTAGCCTTATTTACAGAAGGCCAGGCCAATAACTTCATAGTGTCTCTCAGGAGTATCAGTCAGAACCCAGCAGAAACAAACTAATTGCAAAAGTTAATATGTGGCTGACTGTTTTTTTCAGTCCAGCTCAGTATAACAGAAAAGCTGCTGCCAGTTAATGGTTTTCTGAATCTATGAAAAATTAGGTTTACACAAGTGACCACATTCTGCCAGTAAAAATGATAAGCAAGTGAAAAATCATCAATGCAGTGGAGGAGAGAAGCTAATTAATAGACAGGAGTGAAGGACATAAAGCAATGGTGACACCCATGTCACACAGAACCAGTTTGGCTTGATGTGTACAAGAAGGAATAAATGTAAGTAGCTAGCTCAAGGTCCCTCAAAGCTAGAAGTTCAGAAATACCTGTTTCTGTTGCTTTTTGGACGGACAACCATCAAACCAATGTCAAGCAATAGTTGCTAAAGCTGGCATCTTGAGACCAATGAAACCAAGCCTTATGAGGAAAGGCTGAAAGAACTGTGCCACGTTTAGCCTTGGGAAAAGAAGACTGAGGGGTGATATGATAGCAATTTTCAAATATTTGAAAGGCTGTCATACAGAGGAGGGGCAGGATCTGTTCTCCATCATCCCAGAGTGCAGGACACACAAAAATGGGCTCAAGTTAAAGGAAGCCAGATTTTGATTGAGTATCAGGAAAAACTTCCTAACTGTTAGAGCAGTGTGACAGTGGAACCAGTAACCTCGGGAGTTGGTGAGTGCTCCAACACTGGAGACATTCAGGAAAAATTTAGATACAGTAATCACCTGGCAGATATGCTTTGATTGCATTCCTGCATTGAGCAAGGAGTTGGACTCAATGGCCTTGTAGGCCCCTTCCAACTTCACTTTTCTGATTCTATGATACTAAAAGTTCAGTTTCACTCAGGCTGTAGGTGACAACAAGTTGTAGCAAACCAAAAGAAGGAAGTGAAAGCTTCCAAATATCTTTTCCTACCCTCTGGTGAGAAACAGAGGGAAAGAAATTACCGTATTTTTCGCACCATAAGACGCACTTTTTTCCCACAAAACAGGAGGGTGGGAAGTCTGTGCGTCTTATGGAGCGAAGGAAACAGATTATATTTTCCTGTTTTCTTCTCCTAAAAAATTGGTGCGTCTTATGGAAAGATGCGTCTTATGGAGCGAAAAATACGGTAGTTAATAACCCTGAGACTCCGGCAACTTGTTCCTGTTTATAGCAGGCTAGACAATGGGTTGCCGGTCGGTCTGTCTGTCTAGCTTAATGGTTTAGTTAGGACCTTGATTCTCCATTATGCCTCCTGTGAAGCACAGCTAGCCTGTGTG